CTCTAGGCATAGCAAACAAAATCACTCAAGCCTAAGAAGTCATTGCCATTAAAAATGATTGCTTCTTGGGATGACTAATTAAGATTTGGTAAGAATGGTTCTTGACTTTCAGAAGTCAAAAAAAAACAGTCTCTGACAAACACACAGTAGTCAAAATGTTGTCTTTTGAAACAAAAGGAACACAAACACTGGCTTGTCAAGGAAGGTGCTACAGCTCAGGTTTGAAGATGTAGTCCAGATCCCCCTTTCTCTCTGCAGACAGAATCATGAAGGTCGTATTACTCATAAAGGACTAGTCAAATTTTTCTATGTTTAATTAGAGGTATCACTCTAATCACAGAAAGTAACCCTAAAAATACAGAATGAAAATAAACCCATTATTACTGTCTTGTATCAGGCATGGCTCATTTCTTCAATATGCCTTTGCCATTAAAACATCATGGAAATAAGGAGAAGGAAGGTATCGTCTTACCGGAGTCTCAGCTTTCATCTGGGCCCGCAACTTCTCCCTCATTTCTTTTTCATTGAATTTGGCACTTCTTTTTACATAGACTCCACCGTGCTAACAGAGAAAAAAAAATATTTAAGTAGTTTAAAGTAGAATAGTTGATAGAACAAACAAAACTACAATGACAAGTCACCTTTATGACTCATGTTACAAATTGCCCACAAGATGTTTTATCCTAAGATGAAAGCACCCGAAACTGATTTTATATTTGCATGTACTTAAGTTCACTAAATCTGTGTAAATAAAGATGAGATCTAAAAAAACCAAAAACAATAACAAAAACAAAACACAAACCAAAAGCCATAAGACACTTGAAGTGTCTTGTTTAAAGGTGCTAAATTATTAACTGGAAGATGGCATTGGAAGTGACCCCAGGGATCTATTTCTTACAACACTGACAAACAGCTTAACTTTTAGATCAAGGGAAAAAAATCACACAACTCAAGTTACTCACATGCAAGTATCTATAAGTCAAAGATTTCAGTGTTACGTGCCTGCTCTAAGATAATGACTAATGCAAACACTGGAATTACAAGTATTATACTTTGACATACAAAATTTATGGATTACACAAAAGTAAGTAGCATAGGTCTTGAGAACTTCCATGAACTTTATCAGAGAATCAAACTTTTAATAAAGACATTATATATTAAGATAATAATTGAATAAATAACATAGAATCTTTAGAAGGCAAAGGATTTTGGAGAGTTGGGTGGAGCTGAACCTAATGAAGTTCAACAAGGACAAGTGTAGAGTCCTGCACCTGGGGAGGAATAACCTCATGCACCAGCACAGGTTAGGGGTTGACCTGCTGGAAAGTAGCTCCACAAAGAAGGACATGGAAGTCCTGGTGGACAACAAGTTAACCATGAGACATCAGTGTACTCTTGTGGCCAAAAAAGCCCATGGTATCCTGGGGTGCATGAAGAGGAGTGTGACCAGCAGGCTGAAGTAGGCTCTCCTCTCCCTCTACTCTGCCCTGGTAAGGCTACATCTGCATACCATGCCCAGTTCTGGGCTCCCCAGTTCAAGAGAGACAGGGAACTACAAGAGAGAGTCCAGTGGAAGGCTTCAAGGATGGTTAAAGGACTGAAGCATCTCTCCTACAAGGAGAGGCTGAGAGATCTGGGTCTGTTTGTCAGTTGACACAATCTAGAATATGAGAAGTCCCACCTAAACATCAGGAGAAACTTCTTTACTCTGAGGGTGATGGAGCCCTGGAACCGGCTGCCCAGATAGGTTGTGGAGTCTTCCTCTCTGAAGACTTCTAAAACCTGCCTGGATGTCTTCTCATCTAACCTGCTCTAGGTGAACCTGCTTTATCACAAGGGTTGGACTAGGCGATCTCCACAGGTCCCTCCCAACGCCTACCATTCTGTGACTTGATAGAAAGTGTTTTTACTGAAAACCATTTTAAAAAGTTAGACCATTTCATGAAAAATACTAATTTTATAACCTGTTCCACACAATTTATCACAAAAACTTCAGTAAAAGGATTATTGCAAGAGCATACACACAAAGAAAAAAAGGTTATAAAGAAATTAAATTTGCATCATTTCCCTCTTCTATAACTTTATCTCCAGCATAGCTACAAGAGGATGTAAACAAACATGATCCAAAATTAACTACTGATACAATGAATTCTGGGGGAAAAAAAAAAGCTTCTGAATAACAGAATTTCATTTTTAAGGTACATCATTTTAAGGGGTTTTCTAACTGATTGCCTAACTTGGTAATACTCTTCTGCCCACCCTGACTTATGGCATTAGGATTTGTCAGATAATTACTGTCTATTTATGGTTTTACGTGGTCTTAACAGGAAGGTGACAGTAAGATTAAAACTACTAAGATCTGAATCTCATTCAGATGTCTTATTTCAGTAAAAGATACAGCACATTGTAGAAACAGGGGTGGTGTTTGTGTGAGCTATGATCTTTGCATGGCACGGACAGGAATAAAGCAAGAGAGGCAAGCAGGAGGCAGGCAGGCAGGCAGAAGTGGTTATACAAAGTACTTTCAGTCTTTACTTTTCCTGGCATGGAGAGACAGCTGCTTAACTAGCGGTATTTGACATGACTTTCACACTGGTCTCCAAAAACTGCAGTGAAAAGGAACAGAAAGTCAAGGGTACATTAACCCTGTAATAAATATTCCATCTTAGCATTATTGTCTGTGGTTCCTTTCCAAGGTGGAGTAGCCAGCAGCAACACTCAGCTGTGCTGCTGTGGCTGGCAGGGGGCCAAAACTAAGAACAGAATCCCCCAGTCCACCCAGCTTGGCCTTCAGCAGGCTGGAGCACCATCCCAGCACCATCCCACAAGCAGTTCACCAGTCCATGACAGATAACGGCATGAACAGAAAAACGTTCCATCAGCTGTGCAGCAAACAGAGAGCCACATGTTATCTACACACCCCACATGTGAGGCCATTTTTAAGATTTGGCAACAGTAAGGGGAAGTGGAAGTCTTATTCTGTACAGTGACACCACAACAACTGCTTTCAGGAAGGGCAAACTCAGTTTGGTATGAGAAATAGTGCATCTACTATACAAGAGTTCCATGGAGTTGGCAAGTTGTCATTCTGTGTGAGCTCAGCTAGGACAAGCTATGAAAAATGAGGGAAGGCTGGAATAAAACTTTTCCCATACCTGCCAAATGACTAACCAGGTGCAGTAAACTGGGAAAATACTGAATCACCTTTTCCTCGTTTAATTTGTGAACTTGGAGAAATCAAGTTACTATTGTACAGTTTGCTTCAGGACACCACAACACCCAAGACAGGTTTGGTGTCCCCACCTCAGACTTTCTAATGCTCAAAAAGAGATCTCTACTTCAAGAAAATACGAGTCTATGGTTACATAATGTAAGAACAGACAAATTACATAAGATCACCACGAGCTGCACACAACCCAACTACATAAGTATGTCAGCTCCCCTAGGTGCAGGGTTACAAAGCTAACGAGAATCAAATTATAAATATTTGGCTAAACTTCAGTTACAACCAAAAGGGTCCACAAGCTGATGCTCATCAACAGAAAAGACAAATACATATTTCCTATGTTAAAAAGTCAAGCAAACTCTGGGATATCAAAACTATTTATCAAACTTACATCCCAGCCTCACCAGGTGGTATAAGATGAATAGGAGCTGCCTGCATTTTGACAGAGAAAGATGGGGGGTGGAGGGGGAAATTCAGATCCACCCAAAAATAATAAAGCCCATTTTATGAAAAGAAATAGCTCTATAGCTCTACCTGATAAATCAAACCTGGAACATAACAGGTTAATTTAAGTAGTTATTTTCTTTTTTTTCCTTGCTATTAGATAGCTGCCTCCAAAGAAGAATGCTAGTTATGCAACTGTGTATAGCTGAAATTCCCCAATTTGTATTGCATTTCCTTTTCAGTAAGACATCAAATATAGGAATGCTTTCCAAAACAGGTTTCTGGAAGTACTGTTTTTAAGGTTATAATTTTTTTTCCGCTGTACTTTAAAAGCCCCTCTCTCAGTCAACAATGGATTGTGTTTACAAACATACTTCCTCTGTGCCTGAATTTCACTCTCCTGGACATCCAGACCACGTTTATTTCCAAACAGGATGTTTACCTGAGGTAGGGAATATGAATTCCGTGAGCATGGCGTAATTACATGGCTCTGGAAACTTTTAGTTGAGTGTAAGTGACATCACTGACAGAACATCAACAGGAAGGGCAGGAAGTGTTTTATGTTTTTGCACTGTTTGGTGTGATAAAGACAATAAAAATACCTATTAGCTTGCACTGCAGTCCTGCTGCATCCCGTCTCAGTCATTTAAACAAGCATCACCACTCTTAGTAAGCTGCCCTTCATTTATGTCACTGAGTTAAATATATATATATATATATGTAAAAAAAAATCATACTCCATTAATCTTGTAGAATTTTTATGTTTTGAGGAATCCAAAACTGGACGGATCTTATTTACTATATGTTTTGATTGAAAATGTAGGCTACATTCAAATTAATTTCCACAGGAACTTTCTTTTAACAGTCAATATAGCAGTCAGGAAACTGAGCAACGGATATTCCAGAGAGCAGTAGTAATTTTCCAAAATCTTGAAAAAAATCATTTCTGGACACCTAGTGATAGAGAATAGAAGATATATCCTGTCTGTATTTTAATTAAAGCAGACCTATATTACCACCAATGCAATGACTAGAGGCAAGGACAAAGAAAAAAATTCTTCCATGCAGCAAACGGGTCATTTTAGTGGAAGAAAACCATAGAAAACCATACCCATTAGCGAGGAAAAGCATTGGACAACAGAGAGGTCCATTTTCTCCCAATGGATGCTCTCAGTGAGTTATGACAGTTTGTGATAGCCCATACTTATTTAGGGGACTGGGGCAGCAAACGCAGCAACAAAAAGAAATTGTGAACAGCTTTATTTCCTCTGCAGCATGTTGCCTTCTAAACATAGCGGTTTTAGAAGAAAGGATGGTAACCACCCATGCTCCAGCCTAGATTTACAGCCTACTCACTAAGGTGTTCATCCAGAAGACAACAAACATTTTCAACCATCAAGCCAAAGACACAGAACCTGGACCTGCCAGCATCCAGGGGGCCACTCTAACCTCTGAAACACTGAGCACAGAGCAGGAACCTCAACCACTACCTGTGAGCAAAGATAAAATGGTGAGACAGTACACACCCCGGAGATGGGCATCTTACATGATCCAAGGCTCTGAACCTCTGTTCAGATGAGGTACCTACACCCAAGCTAGAAGGCAACATATGGTTGCTGGGAAAGACTGCTTTTTAAGGCACTTCCTATTCTGCAGCATATTAATTCGGCATTTTATGGACCTGTATCTCCTCCTGCCCAATGCCCTCTTAACCCAATGCAACTTACATTAGTTTCTTGGAGGCAGAGTTTCAGCACCAAGGGTCACACAAGGGCTAACCTGCCTCCTCCCCTCTTCCCACCCATGGTTGTCCACTCAAAACTTTCCCCCTTTTGCTGGTTCTAGGAATCAACTGATCTAACCTGACTTATGAATGCAGAAGTGCAATCACTGAGAAAGAGAGGGAGGGAGAAATGTGCAGCCAGGGATGCAGCCTCCTATTTGGATGTATCGCTGTAGGTGCCTTCTCTTCATATATTCCTTTACAAACTAGCATATAGTTCAAATCATACCTAGCTTAGCACTTCTCTCAATATCCTCCATCCTCTTGTACAGGGCTGACAGTCAATTCAAACCTATTTTCTAATTCTATTAGAAGTACTTTTCTAAGTGTTTTTTTGCTTTTCTTTGCCTGGGCAGCAAGGCTGGGGTGGGAGTGGTGGTGGGCAGGAAGCAGATTAATGTTCAGGGAACAGGTAAACATCAAAGACAGAAGCCAAAGGAGATCTGCTATATTATTCTACATTCTATTAAACCCAAACATTTGAAAAATATATAAGTATACCACAGCAATGTCAATTCACTCCCAATTTGTAGCATGATTAAAAAAAACAAACAAACAAAAAACACCATACAAGGAAGAAAAGTCTGTTTATACCTACTGCTAAATGAGTTTTTGGACATTAAAAAAATTCTGGAGTATTCTGAAATGCTTCTAAGACACTCTACAGTTTTTATTCTAGTAATAACAACAATAAGAAGTATTGTTTAGGAGAGTAAACTGATTCTTTAGTAACTGTTTCCCAACTAAGATACACATCTAACTACACTGAGTGAAAACAGCAATCTTCACATTTAAGTAAAGAAGTTATATAAAGAAGGCAGCTCAGAACTACATCTTCCCAGCACGTAGGATAAACATCTTACATATCTGACCTACGAACAGCAAGGAAACGGTGGATGTGCTTACCTGTGAAAAATACCACCCGTACAGCGGGAGCCATTTTAACCCATCTTTCAAGACATAGCGGACATGCCCGAGAGCATTCTGCCTAATTGCCAACATGTCCGCAATAATCCAGTCCACTGCAAAGACAAAAGCCCAAAATGGTTAGTTAAATTAGTTTCTAATTGCCACCGCTGAAACAAAAAGTGTGTGTTGTCCACATAAATATCGTTAAAGGTTTCTGAACTAGAAGTCCTTGCTCGTTAGGGCAAGGCTGGAAAGAGACATAGTACCAGACAAGCAGAATATTTAAATATATAAAAGTGCGTAAGACAAAAAAAAAACCATCACAAACCTGTACACTGATGATTTGATAAATATATTACATTTTCTTTATTTTTTGGCAAATCCCCATAGATTATTACCTGAAAAAAAAAGAAATGCGGTATTACATAATTATTTTCATTGCATTAGGCAGTGATGAGAGCCACTGCAGTAATTAGTTATTTGCTGGAAAACTGACAGTGTGTGAGCACCACTGACGCCCTACCACCTCATCACTGCATCAGTACCCATCATGCATACAACTGACCTGTCAACAGAGCAGTGAATACTCATTAACGAGGTCCTAAGAAAGCTACTCTGTTCTTGTGCCTCAGCCTTAGAACTGGATCCATGGAAGCTGACCTACATCCACAAGATTCCTACATTAATATAATGAAAGGTAAAGAGGAATTACAGAATCACAGAATGGTAAGGGGTTGGAAGGGACCTCTGGAGATCACCTAGTCCAACCCTCCCTGCCAAATGAGGTTCACATAGGCCAAGTCACAGAGAATTGCATCCACACAAGTGGGTTTTGAAAATCTCCAGAGAAGGAGACTCTGCAACCCCTCTGGGCAGCCTGTTCTAGTGATGTATCACCCTCAAAGTAAAGAAGGTTTTACTGAAGTTGAGGTGGAACTTCCCATGTTCAGTTTTTGCCCATTGCCACTGTTGCTGGGCACCACTGAAAAGTGACTGTTCCCATCCTCTTGACACCCACCCTTCTGATATTTATAAACACTGATAAGATCCCCTCTCAGCCTTCTCTCCACCAGGCTAAACAGACCCAGGTCTCTCAGCCTTTCTTTGTAAGAGAGATGCTCCAGTTCTTTACTCACCCTCATAGCCCTCTGTTGGACTCTCTCCAGTAGTTCCCTGTCATTCTTGAACTGGGGAGTCCAGAACTGGGCACGGTACTGCAGATGCAGCCACACAAGGGCAAAGCAGATGTGGAAACCCTCCCTTGACCTGCTGGTCACACTCTTCTTAATTCACCCCAGAATACCACAGGTCTTCTTGGCCACAAGAGCACATTGCTGGCTCATGGTTAACTTGTTGTCCACCAAGACTTTGAGGTCCCTCTCTGTGGAGCTGCTTTCCAGCAGGCCAACCCCTAACCTGTACTGGTGGATGAGGTTATTCCTCCCCAGGCACAGGACTGTACACTTGCTCTCCACCCAACTCTCCAGCTCATCCAGGTCTCGCTGAATGTCAACACAGCCTTCTGGTGTGTCAGCCACTCCTCTCAGTTTTGTACCATCAGCAAACTTGCTGAGGGTACACTCTGTGCCTTCACCCAGGTCACTGATGAAGACGGTGAACAAAACTGGACACAGTGCTGACCCCTGGGGAACACTGTTAGCTACTGGCCTCCAGCTAGACTCTGTGCCACTGACCACAACCCTCTGAGCTCTATTGTTTAGTTAGTTCTCAATCCATCTTATTGCCTACTCATCTAACCTACGCTTTCTGAACTTACAAAATGAGTATGTTACAGGAGACAGTGTCAAATACCTTGCTGAAGACAAGACAGGCAACATCCACTGCTCTTCTGCCATCTACCCAGCTAGTCACACCATCATAGAAAGCTATCACATTAGTTAAGCATGATTTCCCCTTGCTGAATCCCATGTTGACCATGCCCAATAACCTTCCTTTCCTCCATGTGCATGGAGATGACCTCCAGAATGAGCTGTGCCATCACCATTCCAGGGATGGAGGTGAGGCTGACTGCTCTGTAACTTCCTGGGTAAAAGAATCATAGACATGTACAAAACCACTCTTTAGCTTTATACATCTAATGAATAAGACATGCTTCAAACAGACACTTGTTCTCATTCCATCTAAAATGGTAAATTTTCCTGGATTAGATCAAGAACAAAATCTCAGCCATCTGTCATGATTTTAACCATTGAGACTGAACAAAAAACCATGAGGTTGAGGGGTGTCTTTAATTTGGTATTCAGCTTCCACCCAGGAGGTTTTGTTACTATTTTTTTCTCTTAGAGAAGCTTTAACCTTGCAGTTTCCTGACCCTGAGAGGTAATTGTCTACTAGTGAAATAACCTTCTGAGAGCATGACTACAAAGCAAGATGTTGAAGCAGTAATCCAAGTCAGCTTTTAAAATGGTTTTATTCAATTACTTTTATTTTAAAAACAAACGAAAATTAATTATACCATTCCATCAAATTCTAAACTGAAGAATCTATGTAGCCATCTAATTGTCTTTAATGAATATTTTCATCATCTAACGAAGCTTAGTTTTTCCAGCCAGTATATTCTAGGTAGCACTCCTGCCTTGCTCTGCCAATACCAACGGCTGTACTCCTTGTTTCTAAAAGTCAGCTGTATGAAACATACCCTCTCCTTCAAAGTGACTCCATTCACCAAGAACCAAAGTGCTATTTGGAAGGTTTACCCAGTTATTATCACCGCTTCCCTAGTCTGGACCATCTGGGAATTTTATCAGAAAGATCTAACTAATATTCATATCTTGATTAACATAATCAAGTGTGCTTGGTACGCCAAGTCTCATCTTGTCCCTTGCAGAAGGCCTCTACGAGCACCTCTGGAGAGTGTGCCCACCTCTCGGCTCACTCGTGGCACGGGATGAGTAACGCCTTGTACTGCAACACCAGGCAGAACCTCGTGGAAAGCTGCATGGTTTACAGCCACACTCTTAATTCTTCAAAAATACAGCTGCACTGGTAATCAAATTTAATTTCCAAAGCAAGAAACCAGATATTGGCAAAGTGAGATATTCAGTATGTATGTCAACAAGAGATCATCCAGCATACCACAAAAAGAACATTACTTATTTGAACTATTTTTTTTTTTTTTTTCAATAAAAGAGGCACATATAATAAATTTTAACTCAACATTATTTGCAACAAATCAGCTGACAAGTATATTCTGGACAGTACCCAAGAAATTAAAACATGATTTTGCTGTAGGAGTAGTTTTCTCATTTAAAGTTCCAGGAGAATTTATAACCTTACTGCTGCCAGTAGATACCACACACTATTTAGTGCAAGGTAGCAGTCAGAGGGGCTGACCTTAAGGTTCATGTGCAAAAACTCCACTGAAATAAAAAAATACCTTCCTACTCTCATTTATCAAGTTAAAGCTTCATTTTTCAAGCATTCACTTTTCCAGTGGTGTTACACACTAGGACCATAAATACTGTTTTCTGTAATTTCAAGTTCAGACCCCACTATGCAGTTTCTGGCAAAGACTGCGTTAGAGAAAAGCAAAAGGCCCAATACAACAAATCAAGAAACCAGAAGGTCCTGAATGCTATCTGTGCTTTTTTAGAATTTAAGTAAATAAGAGGAAAACAAAATCTTGCCTTGGACACTCTAAGAGCTGTTCCACACAAGAAACAGGGTTTGAAATAGACAATTTATAACTTCAACTTGTAAAAAACTCCACTTCAACATACAAAGTCAAAATCTCAGTGTAATCAGATCCAAAATTCAAAATGTTATCTTGTGACTATTGCATGAGTAAAAACAAATAGAAAGGATCTTTCCCTTAAAAAACATGTATGATTGTGTCTGCCAAATATAACAGTTAATCTGTATTATTTTTTATCTCAGTAAGATCAGATATAATTCACGTTTCGGTCCCAGAGGAATACTTATTCATTGTTACTGTAAGCAATTTCTATGTACAACTTCATGTCTTACTGTAACAATTATATGTGTTTACATGCAAGGGACCAAAATTTTTTACTTCTCATAGAATACATAGCCACAGTGTTGTAAAGAATTAAAAAAAAAAAATTAAAATCTATATTTTCCTATTTATAATTAGTTCTCATTAAGCACAAAAACAGAGTATTTTATTTCAAAGCAAAGGAAGAAGTGAGAAAATCTGGAAACTGCTTTGTTTGCTCAGATGGCTCAGCCTAAGAGGATGCAACAGCTCAAACTGCAGCATCATTCTCTTCAGCGCTGCCCATTTCAGTAATCTCCACCAGAAAAGGCTTACACAGTTCATGGAAGGCCAGCAAACAGCTATTCATGTATTAAACAGTCACAGCTAGGAACTGAGAGATGCAAACTAACTATGCAACTGTTACTACAACCAGGTAAAAATGTCAACTTCCAACCTTCATTCTCCAGAGGCTTCTTCATAAGGCACAGGAGACAACAACTCTGTGGGCAGCCACACATCTTTCTGAGAACGAGGCATTTCTGTTTCATTGTTGTGTTTCTGGAAATTTTCATACATCTTACACAACAGAGGGCTGACAGTTACAAGCTTTGACACCTGCAGAAAATTGCTCTTTTTCCTTTGAGATGACGTCTGATGAACTCACAGGGCAGAGTCTCCTCAGGACAAGCCTTTAACTTCTGGTAATCTGATGCTTTTAGGTGAACCAGAGCATCTGACGTGTATTATAGCTGCAGAAGGAAACGATACAGTACGCTTCTTCATGGTCTCCAGAAAACCTCTGACTCTCAGCTGGTTTTTGTAGCCAACTTTGCACAATTCCTTGCAGAGTCTGTGCAGTCTCTGGCTCCTAAATCTGCTGGCGCAGAGGAGATCTGGGGACCACACTGAAGGCAAATACTTGAGTTATCCACCAGGGACAACAATGCAGAAACAAGTGTCCACAGTGCCAGGCTGTGTGCATGTCTCTTTTGAAGCAACCTGAGGAGACCAGAGCAGTTAAGAAACCCCCCATCCTCCTCCTTGGACCAGTGCTGTTCCTGGGTTCTGCACAGCACCAGACAGGGTGGGTGGTCTTCCCCCCTGCAGGGCACTCACTAGTCAGCACCAGGAAAGTGGCATAGGACATGCCTGGGAGGTAACTTCCAGTTTCAGAAAGTATTGTACCTAGTGTTCAAGATATTATATGCAATATGCCAGTTACATATTGCACAAATATGCACAAATGCCAGCTCACTTAAGTTCTATCTGTGTATCAGCATGAAAGACTGAGAAGATAAATGTCCTGTCTGCCATAATGCAGCAAGTGAGGAACCTATTTCTTTTGAATAGGTGATACTTTTTCTTTTTTTTTTTTTTTTAAAAAAAAAAGGAACGATGAAGTCAAGCAAAGAAAACAAGTTAAAGGGAAGAGCAGCACAGCAAGCCAAAGTAAGCAGAGATTTAAGGGAAAATATTTTAAATGCATTTACAGTTTAACATTGCAAACATTACTCAGGTCCAGAACATTAAAATGTGTGCTTTTAGCCATGTTTTGGTTGCTTCACAGCCCAGTTCACAATAAAGAGTAATGAAGTTACTGTTAGTATGGGTCTTTCACATCTGTTCCACAGCAATGCTGTCCAAGTCAATTCAGTGACATCTCAAGTAAAGGAGAGTGGATGCAGCCGGGTTCCCTCCTGTGGGAAGGGAAGGCTGGTAGCCAGCTTCCCTCGGCGCCACACACCGAGCTGCTCACACCCTCAGCAGACGTGAGACACCTCAGTGTCACGGCCAGGGGAAGCTCTCATTCACTGGCAGGGGGTTACAAAGTTCCCCTGATGGGGGAATTTACTAATTCAGTGATGGGCTGATACAGGAGTTCCTGGGCGACCTGGTGACACCAGTTCCAGCTTCCCTAGCAGCCTCTGCTTCTTTGGTGCAACACACTCACCTATGACTGTGCTACTGTGGCAGGTCACATAGCAAAGCAGAACAGTCCTGCATGGCAGCCACACCCAAATATATTGTAGTTTGCATAGGTTTTCACTGCAACAAGGTGGGCAATCCCATTTTAGAGTGAGAGTTTTATTTCTTGCTTATCAAATCTGTGCATACTGAAGAAAATTAAACAGATCTTTTAATTGCATCCTAGCTACATCAGCTTAGTAAACAGGGCCATTACAAAAATAAAAGGTAAAAGTAATCACACTATCAGAAGACCTGCTTGCAGGTCAACTGGTGACCACATCAAACATGTAGCAAAGAGATTACCTTAATACGATAATTGGATGTGGCTGATAATGGGAGCAGTTTGGGAGCTGATCTGCAAGCAATCTGGCACTTCTGCTTTGGTGGCACTAAGGCAACACAGCTGGTTATTGGTAGTAAAAACTCAGGCCATCTCTTCTGATGTCCTAGCATGTCTACCAGCACGCTCGCTCTTAGCTCCTCAGACTTCCTAACCCTCCTCCCTTCTCCATTCAAAGAAACTATGTGTGAATTGCAGAATGATGCTGCCTTCCTTGCTGTTACTTCAACAGAACGGATGTGCACTGGGGCACTTTGCAGAGAAGGTGGGGGACATTCTTAACAGGAAAAACGTGAGCTTCAGGCGCAATGAGAGCAACTGGAAAAAAGGATAAAAGCAGTGGGATAACAGCAGAACATTCCTTCCCTCTCTTGGAGGAAGAGAGGAGAAACAGAACATTCAAGACATCAGCACTCCACTGAAAACCACCCCGCAAACCTGACACAGTCAGCTGCACTGTCCTTACAACATCCACTTCTCTCCATTTTGCTGTTTCTTCCTGACTACCTCTATAACTAGGACTGCATGCTCTTTCAGACAAGAGTGTCTTTGTTAGCTAGGACCTACTACAACATGAGTGCTTACTAAAATAAATAGTATCCTAGTATGTATTTCTTATTTGTTTGTTAAAATGCATGGATATAATTTTGTGGTGAAAGTGTGGAGCTTGCA